GTTTTAATCACCTTATTCTCCTCTACATACTTACAAATTGATTGTTTAATAATTTTATTTCAATATCTTTCCAGTAATCAAGTTAAGGTGAACTTAATCCTTCTGTTCCGCTCTTTTAGAGATAGGTGTGCTTGCATGAGTTCTTGGAATTCATGGATAACTTCAGACACTTCCTTAATCCAGCCTGAGTGTGTCTATCTTGTCTAACTGTTCTTTGGCTTGTACTTTATTAGCTCTGGTTGGCAATCCTAACTCCTTGTTAAAATAATTTATAAAGTATTTGGTCACAGGGGACCATTTTTAGTGAAATCGTAAGCAAAGGAGGCACAGCTTTCTCTTTACCTTCCTTCTCTTTGCAGTAATAGGCCTATACTCTCCATTGCATTCTTTACTTTTAAGCAAGGGTGTTACATGTGGCCCACAGGTTGGATCCATCTCATGGAGCCATATCATCCAGTGTGTGGGCCCTAGCCCAGTGTGTTTGTCACATGGAGCCTGTATGGCATGGGCTGCACACAGCATGGCTTTTCTGTGATCTAAGGCCAGTCCAGATTGGGCCTATAGACTGGCCCTGCATGCCAGATTTGGTACACAGAGATAGCCACATACAGCAGGGCCAGATTAGTTTGATATCTCTACTTTTAATGTATATAAAGACCCCTTTGTTACAGCCATCTTTGTCCCTTCCTAATTGAAACTCATTTTGCACCTTTGCCTTTCTGATTTTAGCTGTTCCTACTTGTGCTGTTCCTTTATAGTCCTTCTTTATGGCCCTCCCCTTCTCCCTCCACTCCCCCCACTATTTATGTAATTCCTTTTTGATTTTCAGGTCATTGAAGAGCTGCTGATGCAGCCATAATAGCCTCTTGCTATGCTTCCTATCTTTCCTCCACAAGAGGATATTTGCTGTTGTGCATTTAATGTAATTTCTTTCAGTAACTGCCAGCTCTGCAGTACACCGTTATCCCTAAGCCTTTCTGTCTAAGGGACCACACCTTCTAGTTCCCTGAATTCACTAAAGTCTGCATTTTCAGGTCCATTATTCTTACTGTGATGTCCTTGCTTCTTCCTCTCTTTAGACTAGCAACCTCTAGCATTTCACAACCACTTTCACCTCAGATTACCTCCAAGTTCTCAATTAATTCGTCCACGTTAGAACTAAATCTAAAATAGTAGCTCCTGGGTTCCTGTACAGCCAAAGGAAGATGCTTAAGGCATGTTATGATGGCCATGGGCTTCATGGGGCTTCCTTTATAGCACACTCAGCCAGAGCTGGTCTTGGGGTGGAAAAACAGATGAATCAATCCCAAGCCTCCTTCTCAGCAATGCAGAGCATGCCTCCATGCTACTCAGCAGGCTCACAAACGCACCTTTTAATAGCCAGTGTTTACTTACATACAGTGTCTACACACTGTCTGTCAGGAAGGCTCAAGGTGAAACCTGAACACATCAGATAAACAGGTTTTGAATGGAAAAGGCTGTCCTTGAACTCTCTAATCATTTGAGCCCTCTGAAGAAGGAAGAATGCTGGCTGGTTTTAAAGGGGTCCAATTCCAGCTCCAAACTGAGCAACACAGGGAAATCTGTGTGCGCTGTGCATGTCTATAATGTAAAACTCAGAGTGTAACTCAGAAGGAAGGTGTGAATAGTGAGGTGAGAGTAATGAAGGAAGAGTCAGGATTCCTATTTTGATAGTGTCCTTTTACCAGTTTATTTCATTTTTCTGTGTCAGAATATCCAGCTATAAAATGGGTCTATTTCAAGGGGCTTTGAGGCCTGAGTGAACAGTGTTTCAGAATCCCAAAGGACTGTGCTAGCAATGCATGCCACACTGCTCTGCCTTTCAGTGAAGCAGGAAAAGCCTGCTCTATGTGCGCTACACCCCAAAATGTATGTCAGGTAGCTGCCTTAATGCAGTCAGTACGCTCTCCAATACAGTAAGCTTTTCTAATACAGTAAGCTACCCAGCACCTCACTAAGGCTACTTAACATCGCTTTCCAGGTGTAACACTCATGTCATGCATCATTGCAGCATTCCCTAGTACCATCCTGTGTGGACAATGCCCATTGTGGCTCTGGGAGCCACGCTAATTAAAGCACCCAGAACGTCACATGCATCAACATCCCTGTGCTGAAAAATGACAGTGGGGACACTTTAAAGTTTGTTTGATGAGCTTTAGTTAAAGTGTCCCCCGTCACCGTTTTTCAGTGTGGGGATGCTAATGCATATGATGCTAGAGTCTTCTGGACCGTGGTAATTTATCGTGTTCCAGTAGGCTCAATTAATTGAGTCTGCTCCAATGCGCTGTAATTACAGCGCATTGGAGCAGTGTTGCGGCATGTGTATAGGCTCCCTGTGTGCACAAAGCATTGTTTTATTTTCTGAGCCTTGATTCAGTGTGATTAACACGTGAACATATGCTGTCAGTGCACTCATGGAAGTTCCAAAATTTGGGTACATTTTTCAAGTTTTCTTATACCATCACCTTGTCTCCAGTCATTTAAGAATGTAAGACAGCAATGTCTTGCCTACCTAAGCTGTTCCCTAAATGGAGGTAGCCTGGCTTTTAGATCATTTTGAGGCAAGAGTTACTGCTATTACCTGGTGATAATTAAGTGAATACTTTTACTTTCCTACCTGAGTTCAGATATTTAAATTTAGGAGGTGCCATTCAATAATTTTAGCTTACAGTGGTAAAATATTAGTCATTAATAAGACATGATAAATGTTCTTTAGGCGTGTAGGTAAAGCTGCCCAGATATCAGACTTTTTGTAAATGCACCTATCATAACTAGTGTACAGATTTTGTTCCGTATGAATAACTGTAACAATGGGCTGCCACAAATTCAGTGTATATGACAGACTGGATCCTTCATAGCTGTTCTGATCTGCTGGGTGCACCATATGTTACATGTATGTTTTTCAGGGGTGAGTAATTATTTCGGCTGTAGGGCTGCTTAATGAGCTTTGGTGAGCAGCCTAGGGCCACAGGGGTAGCCCTGCCCCTTGACAGGTGCCCCAACCCCTGGTTGCCATCTTGAGACCAGAAGTCCCACCCCTAAGCCCCCAGTCTTTGCCACTGGAAGTCCCTCCACTTGTCCCCAGAAGTACTTCTTTTGGGAAGAGGGGTTTGCCATCTTGGAACTGGGAAAAAACCCAAAACATGCACTAAAAATCAGACATCTGTTATAACATTTTATTTCAAAAAATATTTTTGTCCTTATTTGTGTGTGCTTGTGCAGTGTGGTTGGGGGGCTGGAAGTGTGTGGGGGTGTTGTGTGTGCTGGAGGGCAGTG